TATTTACGAAGTGCAACCTTAAGATCCTCTAGTTATCTCACGGGCTCGATTATTATGCTATTGTTATAGTTTTTTATGACTTAGATTCTGTTCCACTAGATAAAACAAAATGTTACAATAAGAGTGACAACTCTAACTAAAAAGAGAAGCTTTTTTTCCATGATTGAACAATTCAATAACACAGCGACATTTTCAATTTGTTTTGTTTTGAAAATGATACAAATGAGATTATTTCTACATCTTCTTTCGCAATGGTAATCTATTGTTGTAAACATCTATTGTTACACAAATACATATTTTCTTATTTTGGGCTATCTTCTGCTTTTTATGGTATCAATTCCAACTTCATTTAAAGAACAATAATGCATTATCACGTTTGTCCTTGAATGCAACTGTTACTGTCAGATTTATCTGTTTGCATTTATGCTAAACTAACAGATTAACAAATTGTGACTTAAACACTGATGAAATGTAATAGGGAACAAAGTACAAGCTAACGATTTAAATTTTCAAAACATTTCACATCAAAATAATTTGATGTTCGAAAAAAAAAGTTTGAACAATGAATGCACATATTTTTAGACATTCAAAATGAACAAAATATAAACTTGACAGATGAGGGATAAGACGCTTTTGATTTCAATTAGTTTTCAGTTGATAAAGATTTATTGACATAAACATCTAGTCTAGAACCTATATATCACGGTTGAATAACAAGGTGTCAGATGTTTGACTAAAATGCTATATTGATACCTGGACTACCTTATCATCCCAAAAGTACTTTCTTTCAATCTTTCAAACTCGTAACCAGAGATAAACAAATTTAAATAAATCTTCTTTGTCAGAAAATCAGGTCAATTCTAATAATTTTTATTTTCATAGCTTACAGATTAATGCGAAAGATTAAAATTCTACTGTTGACCACTTAGAAAAATGATTTGATAGAAATTATTATATCTAGAATGCAAATTGATTACCGCTGCAAATACTAAATATTTGCACAGTTAAATGACAAATTGTTCTCTAGTGCATATATACCTACAAATCACACATTTTAGGCAAATTGAAATAGAATTTTTCGTTGAAGGGAAGTTCTATTTATATATATATAAAAAAAGAGGCGAAGGATACCACAGGGACATTCAAACTCATAAGTCGAAAATAAACTGACAACGCCCATGGCTAAAAAAGAAAAAGACAAACAGACAAACAACAGTACACAAAACACAACATAGAAAATCACAGACTGAGCAACACGAAATGCACCAAAAACTGGGGGCGATCTCAGGTGCTCCGGGTAAACATATCCTTCTCCACATGTGGCACCCGTCGTGTTGCTCATGTACGTAGAAACCCCGTGATAAGTCTTATTCGGTAGGTTATATTCGGGGAAAAGGGGACGGGATTCATATCTGTTGTCATCTGTGAAACGGGTACTCCATAATGGTCAACCAACTCGTGATGGCGTCCGTAAAATTTACGAAGGGATGATTTCAACTTCACCACTTGGACCTCTTGGTTTAATAGCTACCTTGTGAACAGCAACCCTCTATCAAGGAAATACAAGCCCTGGAATATCGTATCAACTGGGAGATATAAACTCCGTATGCAGGCACTCCTGGAATGTTGCTACATAGAAATGGAAAGTGCAGTTGGGAAGCTGAAATCTTCTCTTTTGTCGTAAAGTTTTGTTTTCAACCGACCCTCATTGTCCATTGCTAGATGTAAGTGAATTTTTTGTTTAAATCTGGGTGATTTTTTACAAAGTACAAGTACAAGACAAGAAACTTGTATCTACATAGGCCATTATTCTTTAAGAAACAAAGCAGGACCAACTCTTTCAATTTGTCTTTTAGTTTGGAATTGGGAATACTTGTGCAAAGTCAAATGTTTTAGTAATATATGCAGAGTCTGAAATTGTATGTACTCTTAAAAGATCTTTGGAATTTTTTAGTATCCACGTCTGATTCACGCCACCTCTAGAATAGGTAGTTTTACAATAACTTTGAAGCCCGGCTTCGATTGCTGATAAAATTGATGTTAATATAATAATGTAGAAAGAGGTTTCGTGGAGCACTTGGTAGACCCAGTAATATAAGTTTGTAAGGACACTTATGTAGTTTAGGCATCCAATACAGTGAAGGAAGATCCAGTTCTTCATCTTTGGTTGAAGTTCCAAAGAAACATAGAACAGACCTATGATTATACAGGATTTCCTCTTGGTAAGTGTCGTGGTGGTATATGTTGAGTTTCCAAGTGAATTGTCAATACCTAATTCGTTTATCGGGCAGTTTATGTAATGTGATTTACACACAAAAACCATATTGTTTTGGGCTTTATCTGCGGGGACAACAACATATTAGTCATGGAGGCAGGACAGTTGTTTTGCAACATTTTGGTCTTTAAAGATTGATGTAGCATAAGTATTCATAGACCCATGGCCATTCACTTTTTTAATTCTGATTTCTATCAACGACCTCATAGCCCTAATCCATTCGGAAAAGAGTATATACGTCTTCTTTCTTGCGTTTAACCCATTGCCTTGCATAATCCTTGACCGAATCCATCAGTATTTTGAAGTTATTTTTCCAATTGATGGATTTAGGCTCATGATATTTCGGGCCTTTGGATAACACATTCCGCAAAGAAGCGTTATTGACAATGTTAAGAACACCAGTAATAACGTGTCCAGTCGGAATATATAGGAATGGGGGGACGCGCACATGTGCAATTAGAGGTTTAGACTTGAAGTCGTCAATATTAAGATCCGGCAACACGTGTTTGTAGTTGAAGATTTTACTTTCAATTGGTTTGGGATTGATATAAGAAATGATAGGTACAGTCTGATCTTTAAAACAGAGAGGTGTTGTCGATTGAACTGATTAATGATGAAGGATATTGCCCAAGTTGATGCATCGAGACCTTTGTTGGCGAATGAACGTTTTAGAAAGGATCTTTTCTCCTTTTCATCTTTTGCAATGCCAACTGGTTTGAAAAGTTTGTGACGAGATGATAGCTGCAAGTTTGTATTGGTTTGAAGGGGGTTTGTAACAGCGCTTTCCAAACAGAAGTTGTACAGAGAATATATTTTGAATAAAATAACGCCCTAAATTTACATTTTTTCTCTACTTTTTATACTTGTTCGTTTTCCTTTGACATTGCCTATTGCATACTTTAGTGTTTCAATATATTCGTTGGTACATGTAACTGAAATCGCTGTTTATAAAAAACGGATGTAACGCATAAGAAAGGAAGATGTTGTTACAAAAAAGCATAAGCTAATGAAAGTTATAAGGATAATTATACTTAAACACCTTTTATAAATAAATTCCCTTTACACATACCCAAATTAATAACAATAAAATACGTTCGATGAAAATCTTCATAAATAAGTATATTTATATCTTCTTTTAGAAAGGAATACGTGAAAACAATATCATTAGATATAAACCCTCACACAAACGCTTTTCTCTGAAAGTGTTAAGAATAAATAAATAAATAAAGTACACCATTTTCTCAAAATATCCTTAATTAAAACATTGAATGCGATCCTATCACCAATTTAACTACAACTCACTATCTGAACTGTGAAATTGCAAATTTTGTGTAGTACAGAATACTTTGTAACTTGGTTTTATGGATTTCAACTAATACATCGATGCCCTTTTACAGCAATCCCTATCATGGACATGAAATCTTGAGACTGAGAACAAATATGAAATAATTTTATGTCATTGTTAGTAACACAATGTTAGAATGTAAATTTTCTCAGAAATGGACAAACATTTCAAGTACAATGTTTACCAATAATGGTACGTGTAGTGATAAGAGTATGAATTCGCTATACCTTCTTTGAAACTATCTGAGTTGTTACTTTCAATGGGAATTTAGTGTCTGTATAAGATGATGCTCATTGAACTATTTCAAAGAAAAACTGCTGAAAACAAAACAAATTTGTAACATAAAATAACAAAACGTTCTGTTGTTTGCAACAGTTTGAGACCAAAAATCTGTAGAGCAGATCAAGTTCACAAAACAACTGCGATTATTTTTTCTTCCTAAAGCTGTCATCCTAAATACTGTACTTTAAACCTTCATTATGATCAGATTTCCATGATAAATGAACGTATAAGAGAAAACTATGCAATTAAATATTCATGCAAGTTTGTCGGATTTGAGCGTTCCTGGTAATGATAAATCCAGAAAAGCACGTTGAACGCATGCTATTTATAACGTGTTGTTTTCATTTTTTTAAAATACTAAATATGCAACACATGATGTAGGATATGTTTACCCTTGCAAGGTACTTACTTTCACTTTAGGTTTTAGTTGATTTTTGTATTTTCTGTATAACTTTTAGGTGTTGATCGAGTTCTGTCCTTTGAATAACTATTTTATCTTAATTTTGTTCTACATTCATCTCAACGTTACTGTATAAGGAATTATAATACAATTAGTGTATGCTAAGTGCTTCAGGCAATCTTGACTTTAGATGTATTTTGTTATTCTTTTAAGCACCTTTTTATCATATAGCTCATCTCGTTAGCAGTTAGTTAACGTTATACAGCTTTGCTTTATATTTTGTATGGATATGTGCGTTCCTGATGAAGGTAAATCCCGGAAAGCACTTCAGACGCAACACATTATAAAGTGTTCTTTTTATTATTCCATAGATTTTTTACCCTTGATTAATATTATTGCCTAAATGGCAATTTATAATAAAGACCATTATAAATATTAACTGACACTTAAGCTTTTTGTATGATGGATGCATATATATTTCCGACCTTCAAATCATAAATTCCGGTTCCGTTAGCCTGATCTGAACTACTGAAATATTTAATCAGAAAAAACAAGGGCCGTATCGAATACTATAGTCTAGAACTCTCGGCCACACCTTTTTTTTACAAATTATGAAAAGTTAGTTTTACTTCTCAAATTACATTGTGACCACGTCAAAGAAACTCTTGCCCCCTTTAACTAGTAAGTAAACACCACACTGCAAGCTCATGAAGATCTAATCGAAATACAGACAAAGAAGATATATATATATAGTATAGTTCTGTATTACACAGTTCAACATGTTGATATTTTTTTCACACATAATAAATAAAATATTTTATACGTAGACTAAATTCGATGAATCTGATAAATGGCAAACCAATGTTTGTTATTACATTGCTACATACATCACAAACATACATTTCCCTTGAAAATGTTAAGCTGAACCTACGATAATTGATCCGATACTTCAAAATCTGGCCAGTAAATATAAAGAAAACACTGGTTAATTCTTATAAATAATAGAAAACACTGGTTAATTCTTATAAATAAAAAGAAAACACTTGTTAATTCTTATAAATAAAAAGAAAACACTGGTTAATTCTTATAAATAAAAAGAAAACACTGGTTAATTTTTATAAATAAAAAGAAAACACTGGTTAATTCTTATCGAAAAATGATTTAAAACATGAATTTTGTTTTATTTTCAGGATGTAAAAAAGAGACAAAAAACTGTGAAAAATAATTCATTATGTTATCAAAAGGGGATTATTAATCTCTTTCTTGATAATACATAATATGCAAAAATTGATCTGAGTCCTTTTGTAGCTTTTTGCCGAATGAGTATTATAAGAAGTTTTCTTTCAATCATACTTAATGATTATGTAATAATTGGAACAAATTTTTCCACATACACCACGACATGAACTGCTTTTGAAATTCCAAAAATAATGATCCGACTAAAGATTGTTTTTAATATCCAAGTGTTTTTAGAATTGAATTAAACAAACGAAGTCATCATAGAAAAGATGAATTTCAGTTATCTGAAAATAAAAACAAGTGTAGATATTTAATATTGCTTATAAACACATCAAGATGTACATTTATATACACTAATTGTATTCACTTATTTCTACCCTCAATGTATGTTACAATTGATTTCAAAGTTATTTTACATGAATATATATATTATCAACATATATAGAACGGCATGCTGTATACATCATTTGAATGAATCAGAAAAGTCATTCATTTACGCATTATTGACTGCCAATGTTATTTAAAAAAGGGGAGATAGCAAGCTGTTGATAATAGTTTTCCCTTTGGTGTATAAAATATAAAATCTATAATTCACAGATACTTTGACAGCATTCGTGCAAATTTAACATAAACGTTAGAATTATATTACATAATAGTAGAAATAAGTTATCTACTATGTCAAGAGACGTAAATAAACCAATACACTTTCGTAGTTGTTCTTTATGGCCATTCTATTTTTCTTCGATATATGATTAATTTCTTATTAAATACCTTCGATTACTTTGAAACCACTTGACAAAAACGACATATGCGACACATGAAGTAGGATATGTTTGCTCTTGTGCAGTACGATTTATCACTCTGGGGTTTCGGTGAATTTTGTATTGTCTCTAACTTTCAGGTGTTGATCGAGCTCTGTCCTTTGAATAACTTTTTTATTTTCATTGTATTCTATTTTCATCTCAATGTTACAGCTTTGGTATTTTTATTGAGCAAATCAATTTAGTCATTTTCAAGATCATTGAAATTATTTTCCTGTATAAAGGAAGAATAATACAATGGGAAATGCCAATTTAGCCATTTTTCAAGATCATTGATATTGATTTACTGTATAAAGGAATTATAATAAAAAAAAGTGTATGCTAAGTACTTCGGGCAATCTTCACTTTAGTATATTTGGTTATTCTTTTATGGACCTTTTGATCATATACCGCTTTACGTGTTTAGGTAGTTATACACCCTTGCTTTCAATTTTTTGAATATGTGTGATCCTTATGATGGTAAATTCCGGAAAGCGCTTAAAACGCAACAAATTTATAAAGTGTCATTTTAATTTTTGAATTGATTTTTAATCTTGATTAAAAATACTGCCCAAATGGCAATTTATAATACTGATACTTCCACTTTTTTTTAATATGATGAATGAAAATGCCTTTCATGTCTTCGAATTATAATGTCCAGTTCAATAAGCTCGACCTGAATTGAAGAAATATCTAATCAGAAAAAAACAGAGGCCCTGTATATATTATAGTCTTATAACTCTCGGCCTTCCTCTTTTACAGACGAAATAACGAAAATTTAGTTTTGCTCCTCAAAATACATTGTACCCACGTCAGAAAAACACCTGATCTCTTCCAAAGTGATTAAATACTACACTTATGTCCATGAACAACAAAACAAAATACAAACGCAAGAGATAGAAAAAGAAAAGTTCTGTATTACACAGTTCCACATAATTGTTCACCCAAAATAATATAAAATATTCTATACATAGTTATGAAAACAAAATGAGTTCGATGAATATGACATATAAAAATATTCTCGTCTTTAGATTGCTACACACATTAAAACGTACATTTCCCTTTAGTATGATAAGCTGAACAAGCGATTATTGATTCGATACTCCAAAATGTTGAAAGTAAATAAAAAGATAACACTGGTCAATTCTTATCGAAAATTATTTAAAACATGAAATTTGTTTATTTTCAGGCGGTAAAATAGAGACAAGAAAGTGTAAAAAAATCTTATTAAGGAGGTACATAATTCTTCTCTGTAAAAATCAGCTGAACGTTTTAATCACGTTCTATTGTTAAGGAAATATTAAGCTTCTCAATGATCAAAATTAGTGTTTGTCGAACTGCTATATATCCAATGAAATTTTTCCGATAAAGTTTGTGGTTAAAGTGTTTTGAAATTTTATATTTTTGTCAAAGGGTCAAAGTATATATTTTGTCAAAATTTTATGAAAATTAAACGAGCCAAATTAATTTTAGTCACGGTGTTTGATACCACATTAAGTTATCATAAGGGAACTACAAATCTCTTTCTTGATTATGAGAATAAGCACAATAATGATCTGAATCCTTTTTATACCTTTTTGCCAGATGAGTATCATAAGACGTTTTCTTTCAGTCATAATTTATAAGTATGTAATTATTGCAACAGGTTTTTACACGTGCACCAGGAAAATAATTGTTTTTGAAATCCAAAATAATAATGATCCGAATAAAGACTGTCTAATATCCATGATTTTCTAGAATTGAATTTAACACACGAAGTCATCACACAGGAGATGAATTTCAATTATCTGAAATAAAAATAAATGATATATTTGATTTTGCTGATAAGCACATATAGATGTACATTTATATACAATTACACGAATTCACTTAGTTCTATCCTGAATGTATGTTTCTATTGATCTCAAAGTTATTTTATATGTATATAGGTATTGACAACATATTTACAACATTCAGACGGAAAATTGTATTTATGTTTTTATTGTGGAACAGTTGCAATATGCATAACTTTTATTGTTCGTCGGGGTTTTGCTATACGTTTTGTCTCTTTATGTTTATTAGCTCATCAACGTTTTTTTGTGAACTTTAGGATTTTCAAATATGTTCGGTGTGTGCATCACCGAAGAGACATTTATTGGTGCAATAAAATTGATACCGTTAATATTACTATCGCCAATCAGAAAGTGTATTTATATTTCTTGTTTTAATGGATATCTGCAAACGATTTAATGGTGTGATTTGAATCCACTGTAAATCTAAGTTAAAAATAAATAAGGTGAAAATTTACAAAATATTATAATGAGCATATGATACCTGCCTCAAATACAAATATTTCATGCAAAACACACGTTGAACATGGTTCACGCAATGCACACACACAAACATGCTGTACATAGAACAAATGCACACTCAAAGATAAATCAATACCCACAGGGAGAACGCATTTGCAAAACATGAGTATGCTGCATGCATTTTGTCTGATAATTGAAGGTTTGAAATAAGAAGGGTCACATTAATATACAGTCAATCTGAAATATCTGAATATAACAGTATTAACGTCTTTCTGATTGTTAACTTCTATGGCTAACAATGCAGTGTTTTTAGACTGCTGCTGTTTTTATTTGGGTCAATTGATCTAAATATTTTTACTCACATATCATTTCTTTTAAGGTATTCTGGCTTTTCCTTATATTAGATTTGCACCTTGCGTAACCGATATAATATCCAAAGGCTATTAGCATAGCATAGAATACGTAGTTCAATACCAACCATGGACAACCATTAATCAGATAGACGATATTAATGAATGCAAATAAAATTAATACGCACGCAGCCAACACTTGAAATATCTTATCAGTGTAGAATAGTTCACCCCAGGGTCCCTGTGTATCTTTTCCTTTTTTCATTTTACTTGATCATCGGATTGTGTGTATGTTTAAGTAGATCAATAATATTATGTCTAGTTTTAAGTATAAATTCTCTCAATATATGCACAGGAAATACACAACATTTATCAGCTGTTGTCAACACAGGTAAATCATACAAAAGAGATTTATAGAAAATTAAAGTCAATGCCACTTCATATTTTATAAATATATAGTAAATACTGTACTGCAAGTACACGAAGAACTAAACAAAAATACAAACGCAGGAGATAGAAATATTTAAGTTCTGTATTGCACAGTTCAACATATTGCTATTTTTTCACACATAATAATATGAAATATTTTATATGTAGTTTATTAAAAACAAATGAATTCGATAAATCTGACGAATGAAACATTTCTTGTCATTATATTTCTAAAAACATTAAATACATACATTTCCCTTGCAATTGTTAAGCTGAACCTACGAAAATTGATTCGATACTTTAAAATGTTGGAAGTAAATATAAGGAACACACAATTCTTATCGAAAAATGATTTAAACATGAACATTGTGTATTTTGAGACTGTAAAATAGAAACAAGAAAGCTGTGTCAACTAATGTTATTAAGTTATCATTAAGGAAATTACAAATATCTTTCTTGATAATGCAGATTTTGCAAATTATTGATTTGAATACTGTTTGTACCTTTTTGCTGGATGAGTATCATAAGACGTTTTCTTTCAGTCATACTTAATCATGTAATTAATCGAATAGGTTTTTACACATACACCATGATAATAATTGTTTTTGAAATCCAAAATAATAATGATCCGTCTAAAGACTGTCTAATATCCATGAGTTTTCACAATTGAATTTATCACACGAAGTCATCACAGAAAAGATGTTATTTCAGTTATCTGAAAATAAAAGAAAATTTGTAGATGTTTAACTTTGCTAATATTTATATACAATAACATGAATTCGCTTATTTCTATTCTGAAAGAGAAGGGCGAAAGATACCAAAGAGACATTCAAACCTGTAAGTCGAAAATAAACTGACTACGCCTTGCTAAAATAAGAAAAAGACCAAGAGACAAACACCAGTACACAAAACACAGCATAGAAAACTGGAGACTGAGCAACACAAACCCCACCACAAATCGGGGGTGATATCAGGTCCTTCGGAAGGGTATGTTACTATTAATCTAAAAGAGGGGTGATTTATATCAAAGGGACATTCAAACTCATCAGCGATGGCTTCCGTGAAAAAGTTATTCCATATGAATATATTTTTTTTCACATTAAACTTTAAAAAGGAAAATTGTAAGAGATATTGGCATGGGAATACAGATGTTGTTTTATAGAAATTTGCTGTTATAACATTGTGTAAATACCTTAAAATTAAGGAATGTATCTCTCTGTTGCACTCCTAAGATTCCTCGTCGGGGTTTAGCTAAACTTTTTGTCTTTCTTGTTTTGTCTTTTTAGTTCTTCAACGTTTATATAAAATTTAGGAATTTCAAATATGTTCAGTTCGTGCTTCACTGAAGGGACATCTATTGGCGAAATGCGCATCTTGAGCAGTAAAATTGATACCGTTAATGCTACTATCGGCAATCAGAAAGTGTATTTATATTTTCTCAGTTTAATGGATATCTCCAAACGATAAGACAAAAAATATATATAGTAAAATGGTAATAACGCGTGATATTTTCTCTCATTTTGTCCACCTTACAATCTTTTGACTTGAGTTAGTTACAGCAATATAAATAAAAAGATATGATATGAGTGCCAATGAGACAACTCTACATCCAAGTCACAATGTGTAAAAAGTAAACAATTATAGGTCAAAGTACGGCCTTCAACACGGAGCCTTGGCTCACACCGAACCACAAGCTATAAAGGGCCCCTAAATGACTAGAATAAAACAATTCAAACAGGAAAACCAGCTGTCTAATCTATATAAAAAATGAGAAACAAGAAACACTTATGAACCACATCAACAAACGACAACTACTGAACAACAGGCTCCTGACTTGGGACAGGTGCATACAAATGCAGCGGGTTTAAACGTTTTAACAGGCGCCAACCTTCACCCTAACCTGAAACAGTAGTGTAACATTACAATATAAAAAGATGTCAGTTGTGATTCAATTTTACTGTCATGCTAAGTTATAAATAAATACGGTGAACATTTTCAAAATATCATAATGAGCACATGATACCTGCCTCAACTACTAATAGTTCATGCAATACACACGTTGACAATGGTTCACGCAATGCACACACAGACATGCTGTATATAGTACAAACAAAACGCACACTCAAAGATGAATCAATACCCACAAGGAGAACGCATTCATAAAAAATAAGTATCGTGCATGCATTTTGTATGATAGATGAAGGTTTGAAATTAAAATGGTCACATTGATATACAGTCTATCCGAAATATCTGAATAAAAAATATTAAAATCTTTCTGATTATTAACTTTTAGGGCTAACAATGCAGTGTTTTAAGACTGCTGATGTTCTTATTTGGGTCAATTGATCTAAATATTTCTACTCACATATCATTTCTTTTATGGTATTCTGGCTTTTTCTAATATTAGATTTGCACCTTGCGTAACCGATAAAATATCCAAAGGCTATTAGCATAGCATAGAATACGTAGTTCAATACCAACCATGGACAACCATTAATCAGATAGACGATGTTAATGAATGCAAATAAAATTAATACGCACGCAGCCAACACTTGAAATATCTTATCAGTATAGAATAGTTCGCCCCAGGGTCCCTGTGTATCTTTTCCTTTTTTCATTTTACTTGATCATCGGATTGCGTGTATGTTTAAGTAAATCAATAATATTATGTCTAGTTTTAAGTATAAATTCTCTCAATGCATGCACAGGAAATACACAACAGTTATCAGCTGTTGTCAACACAGGTAAATCACACAGAAACGATTTAGAGAAAAACTACAGTCGATGCCAATATATATTGTATAGATAACGAATAAACACAGTAAAACTTAACACTCTTTTAGTTAAATCTCAATTATGTTTGTATAATAGAATGTAGTACTTGGTTTAGTTTCGTTACTTACTTGAAGAAAAAAATCGGGCAAAACAAAACAGGTGAAATCCAATTGAACGCACTAAAAATTATTATCAGGACTAAGGGATGATGTTTATCAGTATAATCAATAATTAATTTTTGTTTTCATCACGCCCCGTCTTTCAAGTCAGTTTCAGATTATTTCCGAAGTTGTTACCTTGATACTTCTAAAATACTTTAACATATTTAAGTTAAATAGGCTATGATCAGTCTATATCAGATTTGCAGTTGTCAGTAAAACTGTTGTTTACCGGTGCATAATAATAATAACTCTTATTTTAAATAAGTAGCAGGAAAATACTGGAAGGAAGACTTACACAATCTTCAATCTATAGATAAAAATGAACTTGATAAAAGAATTTTGTAATCTAGGCCAAGCAATTTGAATCTATAATGAAAGATTCATTTTGTAAGATTTACATATGATCGCGATACAATTATTGTCCTTCAAAAAGAAGGGAACATATGTGAGGTACACCAGAGAATCGGGTCAATATTATCATTAATCTTTATTAAGATGTATAGTCAGCTGAATAAATATCGTTTCATTTAAAGCTTTCAAGACTATATGAATATATGGATTTAAAAAGGATTTAAAAAGTATTTGAAAGGTGGCATATGGCATATTGCAAAATATAAAACCTCTAATTTGTTTTAACAAAGAATGAAGGCAAAAGGAAGCGAACAGTTAAGGTCGTCTCTTGTGCATATAGGTTTAAGTCATCTGTTTTCCAGACTTTTAAGATAATTAAGAGCTTTTTCTGGACTTATTTTAATTTTTAATTTATAATTTATACTCGAGCATCATGTCCATTTTGTTTTATAAGCTTTTCGTTTTTTTTAATAAGCTTTGGATTTTCATAAAATTAGGCCTAGAGCATAACTGAAGAGACATTTATTGTCATTTCGTCTTTAATATCTCATATAAATTCAGTATTTCTGCAAAACTTACGGTTTTCATATCATTTCTGTTTTAAGCCTGAAATTAAATATAAAAAAAATCCTTCTCGGAGTGTACTCAATTTTATTTATTGTCATAAAGTAAGTTTAAGATGTCGTTCGTGCTGTTCTACTGTTTAATAATTTATTTCTCTTAGCTTCTATTGGAGCCTGGTTTTCGAAAGTGTCGTAAATTCATCCTAGATATGTCTTAGACCGATAGTAAAAGCTGTTTTAAGATAGTCCTAATTAGGAAAGTATTGGACAATACTAAGTTACATTTACCTTCTATTTCAAGACATTCTTTCGTCTCCTTCTTTAAAACAGTATATATACTTTACTTTTTATAATTTCACTATGGTTATTATATCAAAAGCAATAATAATAATTTATATGATTATTCAAACAATAATAAAATTATCATAAAAATAAATGGAAATAAATAATAAAATTTTCCTTATTAATAATAATATCAATTTGTTGTTAAATGAAGTTTTGTGGTTGGATTGTAGTAATATAGTATATATGATAAAAATTTGAAGCCCTTTGTTGTAGTTAAATGCGATTGGAAAAAGTTATGTTTAAAATATATAGAGACTCATTTTTGCACGTCGTACATATGCATATGCGACATAATCAGGTTTTTTTTCTATACGCTTCTTTCCAGATCAATAATAACATCTGTTTATTGTATGTACTTAACATTAAATTTCAACCGTTATATGAATTCATAGAAAATATGTTGGCCTTACACGATGATTTCTAGAGGATACGTAGATAACATAAATTGCAATTGCCGTTGACAGTATTACTTTTTTTCAATACTATGTAAAGTCAGCTAAATAAAACGTTAAGAGCACCAAAAGTTTTATCGATACAATTTTTCAGGAAAAACACTTAATTACGTGTTATAGTATCCAAAGAAGGAGATGTGGTATGATTGCCAATGAGACAACTATCCACCAAAGTTCAAATGAAGTGGATGTAAGCAATTATATGCAACCGTAAGGCCTTCAACAATGAGAAAAACCCATACCGTATGGTCGGCTATAAAAGGCCCCGACATGAAAAATATGAATCAATTCAATTGAGAAAAATAACGGCCTAATTTTTAACAAAACAATTTACGAAAAAAATATGACAGACATGAACCAACGACAATCACTGAACTACAACATCACCGTAAAAATTAGGATGTGCTATTCCGTTTGAAATACTGCTCTAACAGAGTTATGATGAAGACTGAAATCGACAAAACATAACAGATACGAAATCTCTGTATCTCAAATCTAGGTAAAAAAAATTTTTCACATGGAGAATGAAATGTGTTAAATAGTGTTCTTTTTATTTGTCCTTGTACATTTCTAACCTTTACTGTTTAGTCCATTTTCGATAATATACTTTTGACATGGCTCGGTATTTAGACATCCTGCCATTGTGTTATTGTGCTATGGTCTATTTTGTATTCTTGTCTTTCATTTTTGCTTATGTACTATGTCTATAGCGTGTCTATATGCAATTTTGTTTTTTCTTTGTCGGAATAGTTATTTGTTTTTGTAGCGATTAAGATTATAATACAATGTTGACTGCTGTACTCCAATTTTTTACATATTTACCTATTATGTCTACTTGTTTTGCTCACATATTGATGTCAATATTATGGAATTCTATGCGGCTGTCATGCAAGTGAGATGATTAGCTAGCTATTAAACCAGGCTTAATCAACCATTTTCTACATAAGGAGATGCTTGTAACAAGTCAGGAATATGACATTTGTTTCCATTCGTTTGATGTGTTTGAGGTTTTGATTTTCCCATTTTTTAAAGGACTTTCCGTTTTGAATTTTTCTTGGATTTCGGTATTTTTGTTATTTTACTTTTTGCTGACCATCCTGTGACACTTTTAAGACATGTATGTTAATGTCCTAATTTCCCAATTAATTTTATGATTTATTTGACCTTAAGACTCTTTCAAAAACATCACATAAGACTGAGATATGTCCTAAGACCATCTTTGTCTTAGTCCTAAGACACTTTTTAAAACCAGGACCCGGCTTTGTTATATTAAACTTGTTATTTTCAAGAGCAACATTTTTGGGGTTTAAAAAAGATCCATATTTTGTTAGCAAAAAGTATTGATATTGATTACTTCAGGCATGTAAATTCTTGGTATTAATATGCGCAAATCGCAATGAATTTCTCTTTTGCAACCTGATTCCCATAATTAGACAAATAGCCAAGAAAGACCAGGCTCCGTTATCTAAACAATAAACACGGTAAGACACAGTCAATAATAATCGGCGAAAAAGCAAAAAAGGTCATCTCATTCTAAAAAAAAAATCTCTGCTTTTTTTGTGTTTTATTTTGCTGTGCATGTACTGATTTTGTGTCATGGATGGATACCTCTTATCCTTTGTTTTTCTATAAATAGACACAATTAAAGGTCATTAATGAAATCAAAATCGATTAATTATTTTGTTATGCTTAATTTCTATATGAGCATTATCTTATACATCTATATCGAAACATTCTTGTCCTTTAACGAAAGCTGAAAATTATTTAAATACGTAGGAAAAAGTAGAAATTGAATTTATAGAAAGTAATGGTCTATTGCTATCGAAAATATAGCAATACAAAAATAAGGCTATTTTGACAGTTCTGTTTTGCAGTTTAACATTACATTTGAGAGGTTTGAAGTCAAAAGGTAAATGTGTAAGCCAAACTAAGCTCATTGGTACTGATATTTGAATTTACAAGGATATATAATTAATTGAATTTTAAACACATACAATGGCATAAGAATAACTTGTTTTACAAAAAAATATGAAAAAACAAGGCTTATAAAGAATGTTTGTAATATGTGAATTTATTATTTCCCACGAAGTCATCACAAAATAGAATAAAATTGATAATGGAAATGGGGAATGTGTCAAAGAGACAACAACCCGACCATAGAGCAGACAACAGCCGAAGGCCACCAATGGGTCTTCAATGCCTTTCAGTTATCTGAAATGGAAAAAAATCAATGTTGATTACAAAATGTAACACTTAGACATTTATAGTTAATAACAGTAATAATAATTATATTTTTCTGTGGCGAATTGTATGGTGACCGGTTAAGGCCTTTTTCGCGTTTTCGTCCTTCATATTCTATAGGGCGAAAACGCGAAAACGCGAAATCGCGAAGTCACAAACGCGAAAACGCAAAGTCAAAAACACAAAAACGCAAAGTCGAAAACGAGAAATCGGAAAGAAAAAATATTTTGCGTTTTCGCGTTTTCGAGTTCGCGTTTTCGCGTTTTCGACTTCGCGTTTTCACGTTAACCGGCCACCATTAAATTGTACTATTTGATTGAATCTTATTTCAGAAATGTATGGCTACTATGCTCGACCTGACTAATTCTTCTTCATAAAAAATGAAGTTATAAACAGCCGATAGAATCAATTAACAAAATATTATGTAAAAACGTAAGATTTAGACAACGCTAGAACGCACCCGCGACATCGCGGGTTCGTGACAGAATTAAAGTACCTACGCCTAATTTTAGTAATTTTTAGTATTCGTATTGTCATCTGATATAGTCATGCTGATTATATTGATGCACAGTTTTCTCTACTTTCAAAATCTTTCTGTTTGAACCCGTCCTGGTTTTCTTACTTGTTTTTATATTTTTCATTTTTTACTGGGTAGGCAAATCGTCACATTAAATCTGTAACGATACAGTTTGTTAAATGTCCTCCTTAACACCATAACCCAAGGTGGTGCTCATATCAAAGGAGGAAGATACATGACATACTACAACCGGAAACTACATGTGACATATACTATTGGTAATGGTACCGGATTCGACCCGGAACTTGTTAATTATT